ATTTTCAAAGACAAAAAAGATTATCATGGTGATCAAAATCATCATTTAATACCACGTGCAATTTGTGTTTAAATTGGCCGGTGGCACTAATTTAATTCCGGCTATCAAATTTCCAAAGACTTTTGTAACACACTGTACCTTTAATTTTTCCGTGCCAAAAAAAAATAAAGAATTCTGATATCGTAACTATCAACCTTGACATTAATAATTATATATGCAATATTATATTGTTTTCATTGAAACAATTACTTTAAATTTTATTTTTTTTGTATATAGCGAGGTACTTCTCAAAATGATCCTTTTTAAATAAAAAAATAAATACAAGTATAAAATAAATTCAATAGTATCTTTTTTTTTCTCCTAAGAATTTAATAACTTATATTTCAACTCGCTAACTTCTTTGACCACGGAAGATGTTTTATTTATTAAAGAACTTAATAACATTTGCTCGCTTCCATTTACTAATTGCTTGACTGATGGGAGAGTATCAACCTGAATTCGGGGATTGCGTAGGGTGGCATCTCATTATATACAGTCGGGTCTCTCTATAATCACACCACACTTATTATAATCCCATCTTTATATAATCATACTTTTCGTGAGAACCAATGCCATATAAAAAAATCGCCATATCTCCAAATTTAATGTAAACGTGAGCTTATCTAGATTATCCGGCATCATTTGATTATATGTTTCTTTTTCAAAATGTGTGAAGCACTTGCATTTGTTATTCCTATAATCGAGAAATTGGTTTGTCGAGAGAAACAATTGAAAATGAATGAAAATAGGGGCTTTGATCTTTAACTCCCACGAGGTAAACTCTCATTTAATCATTTTTTTTCATTTATTCATTTCATTTTATGATTAATCTTTTTTTTCTTAATTCTATTAGAGAATTAACACAACAGATATATGCCTTCATAATTCCAATGTGACTTTACTAAAAAATTTACTTATAACTGAAAGTAATACTTCTGTTCATGAATATATTAAATAATTTAAAGATTTAGGACCAGATATATTAATTGGAACTCCTGGAAGATTACACGAATTAATTGTTGGTCGAGGAAATGATAAAAGTCTGGTGAATACCAAGGCATTGGGAATTTTGGTTTTAGATGAAGCTGATAGATTATTGGATATGAGTTTTTCACAAAAATCAAATAATATCATAGCTCATTTACCTAAAATTAAGAAATCCAATAAAATTGGTAGTCAAAATATAGAATATTATACCCAAAAATGAATAACGTACTCCTGAATATTTTTCTTTTTTTTTTTTTTTTTTTGATAAAAAAAAAAATCGATTACAATATTCTATGCGGGCTGTAGTATGCATATATATTAATTATATATTAATTTTATCAACTTCTTCAATTCATCAATTTTCTTAATGCATGATTCTTGGTTTTTCTTTATTTTTAATATATATATATAATAAAAATGCCATAACACAAGTTTCTTGTTCCCATAAATAGTAGTGACGTCACAAATCAGGTTACTATGTAAGAAATTCACATGATTTACTATTTAAGGAATGAGAAAAGGGAAGAGACGTGACGAATCCCTCCTTGAGGATTGGTAGACTTTAATCAAAGAAACTACTTTTGTGTACGAAGAAACCAGTTACTAAATTTATTTGTGTATACGCCATGCCAAATGTTTTTTCAAATGTCAAACCCACCAGCAAGAATGAACAAGTGTTACATTTGGCATCACAAATATATCCTTTCACTAATTACTTGTGCGCTAAGTGAACCGTCTCGTTGTTATTTAACTAACTAACTCAGGTATTAGCAAAGTCCCCTCACACCAGTGGTCTCACTTCCACTGACAAAGAATAAAATAAAAAAAAAAAACAAAAACAAAAAACAAAAACAAACAAAAAACACAAAAAATAAATCAAATATCTACATATATATAACTGCTCGGGTGACATCACAAAGGTTTTTTTTGATAACTAAAAAATATACTTACATTTTTTTTTCTGAATTCAAATATACTTACACCTGAAGACTCTAAGACTCTACATTTTCCCTTCCAAAAAATCTTTTCACCCTTGGAATAAAAATTATTAATTAGTATTTCAACTATTTCAATAAATATATTAAAAGCTAAAAGTACTACTGAGAAAATAGCCATTAACTTACGGTTGTAATCCTTAGTTTGGAAGTTTTGGACTGTTAACTGACTCTTGGTAATCTAACTAGTGTGCAGCAACAATGACTCACGTCCAAAAGCGAATCAGGTTTATAAAATATTTCATTTTTAGTCAACTTTGTTTTATGAAAGGATACAAACGAAGAAAAAAATAAATCGGATATAAAAATAAATAAGATCTATGAAAGGATATACAAAAATAATAAACATCATGTTGTGCAGATCGACATCTCGCTTTTGCAAATCTTTTTCACCGCGTTTTCCTATTATCAAGGCAAGTTGAAAACAAAATACTTAGAGTAAGACGCGTTAGGATACCCTCTTTAACGCATTTCTCAGCCGATCTTTCTTATTGTAGTCTACTCCGCCATCTTGTCTCTAATATATTGGATGTAATGACCCACAGTTACGTAGCTTAGCCGACTCTGTGGCGGATGTTTGGTAGTATAGTTGGTGAGGATACCCTCTTTGTTCATCTGAACTTTTCTCATTGTACATCAAGTCAGTATCTTTGTGTTATGTATGTTTGTTTTTTTTTGTCAGTATGTAATTCTAATTTTTCATTATATATATAAAGTACTTCCAGTTGAATGATTACACAAAATGGAGGGTTCCTGCGGTACTTAAAGGGCAATTGGATAAAGGTTATGTTGAAGGTTGTCGGGGTACAGGCTCTCTTTCATTTCAGTCCTTTGCTTTTGTTAATTCATTTTTTTTTGTTGATATTGAAAAATTGAATAAGAGATATTATCATTTTGTGTTGCAAACTTTTTCTTAGTCGATATCTGAAAAGCTTGATTTTTATGGAAGGTCGAAATGAGGTCAATAAAGATAATGTCAAATATATGAAATATCAGGGATGTTGAAATATCTATAAATACCAAAAATTCGTGCACTTTTAGTTATCAAATTATATTATGTTACATAATTTTACAATGAGACGAGGCATTAATACTTGTCATGTACCAACAATTTTCATGGTCGTTCAATCGCCGTCATTTCTATGTCAAACGACTTTGATTCCCGAACAGGATTTAGACCTGTCCTTTTATGTCACGCATTGGTTCAACTTGCCCAGTTACTGGGCATTCGATTCACTTAAAGATTTGGAAGAAGCATTGGAAAAACATGATTCTCGTGGCAGGATTTTTGGTTGAACCAATTCAATGTGAATTCTGTATAAATGTGCCGGACAATAATTACTTAAAGAAGTGTTATGAACTTTGTAAAAAGCATAACGTCTTATTAATCGCCGATGAAATTCAAACTGGTTTTGCTTGCACGGGTAAAATACTTTGTCAAGAGCATGATGGGATTAAAGCAGATATTACCTTATTAAGGTAAAGCACTTTCTGGCGGTGTTTATCCAGTTCTAGCCGATAAAGAAATTATGTTATGTATATCAAAATCCGGAGAACGTGGTTCAACTTATGGTGGAAATCCATTAGGTTGTGCAGTAGCTATAGCAGTATTAGAAGTAATTAAAGATAGCCGAGGGCTATTAAATGCTTTAGTAATCGACGAGACCCAACTTCTTGGCAAATTTTATTGGCTAAACCAACTCATTAAAATATTATTCATTTGGCACTAACATTAAAATATTACAAAATAATTCATTACACGATATCGTTCTGGAAAATATCGATTGTACGTCCAAATTGTTATTATGATGACATAAAACAGAATAAGATTGATTTTGATTTGTGAATTCATATCAAGTACATTGCCAAATAGGGAAACAACAAATGCATGCATACTAAAAAAAACAAACTATACTCACCACATGTTCACTAAATATACTAAATACATACAAGGGTAAATGGATAAAGCCAAATAAGTATATTATAATTAAACGTAATTAACATATTCAACATAAATAATCGTGTGTGTAACCACTCAAAAGAAAGAAAGAATAAAAGAATGAAAGAATGAAAGAATAAAAACGAATGAAAATGAGTTAAAATAAAATAAAAAATGAAATGAAAGGGAATAAAAATGAAAAGAAAAACGACAAAAGGAAAAAGTTATAATAACAATGAGGTAGTAGGAGAACCGGATCAATTCATTTTCGTGTAGTCTTTGCTTCACTGCACTTATTTGCATCAAAATGCATTAACTTCATTGTAAAAGTAAATATTTTTAGATTTGTTTATTTAAAATTTCGAAGATTGTATGTTTACTTTAATTGCCGTGCAAATCGTAGTACAAAATGTATGAATTTTATTAAACTCTAACCATTGAAAACGTTTATTTCTCCATATTTCTCCCCTTCTCCTAGGCAAATATTATTCATTTTTTTAAGGTTTCCTTACATTCCTTATTACATCCATTTGCATAATAACTTTCTCTTTTTCTTTCTTCCCCTTAAAAATTTCTTTGATCCGATCGTTTAGATTATTCCATTGAAATATTAAGATCACTCTTTAAATAAAAATCGCAGTAAGAATTATTATTATCTAAAGAACAATACATACAAAACGTCAACCAAAAAACTTTTTTTTAATAATCCTTCAAATATATATAGTCATTTATGTCAAATAAAACATTTCCTAATTTCTTTTTATAGAAAACGATACCTTCTTTACTAAATATTTAGTTAAATATTTATTATATATATATATATATATATATATATATATAATATAAATATAATGAAGAAATTTTTATCGTTCAAAACGACGACGATAAAAAAAATATTGGCAATTTATTTATTCTCTTTTTTTTTGTTATGCGATGCTGCGCCAATTCCCATCGAAGAAAAAGGTAAGCCTTCCTTAACAATAAATCATAATGAAGAAGTGAATAATATAAATTATGATTAGTATTAAAAAAAATTTATTCTAATATTCTATTTATCATTTTTATTTTTTCCCTTTAAAAGACCTTAAACTACCATTATTACCTAGGGATACTCCAACTCCAACTCCAACTCTACCATTATTACCTAGACAGGATACTCCAACTCCAACTCCAGTAGCGCCGGTAGGTCCTACTGGTCCAACAGCTCCCATTGGTCCAGTAGGTCCAACAAGTCCAAGTGATCTTGGACAGCCTGGACAGCCTGGACAACCTGGACAACCTGGACAACCTGGTTCCTATGATAGCGGTGGTAGTAGTACTAGTACTAGTAGTAGTAATAGTATTAGTACTAGTACTGGTAGTAATACTGTTTCGCCGACCTTATCTGATAGTATTTCAGCATATACATCATTATCCAATTCAGGTAATAATAATAATATTTTTTTTTTATTTCCATCGTTTAATTAAAATTAATTAATTAATTAAATTATATTTTTTTTTATTATTTATTCTAGGTTCCTCAACACCTTCCGTAACAATACCCTTAAATAATTCTTCCTCAATATCGACATCATCACCCTCTCCTTCCGATCACTCGTCATCATCCAAAAAGATTGTACCAATAGTATTAGGAATTATCGGTGGAATAATAATTATAATTATAATAGCTTTAATAATTTATTATCGTCGTAAAAAACGTGTAAACAAATCCTATAATGAAAAAGATAATAATATTAAATCAAAATTGAAATCTATTTGGAAAAACTCGATGATCAATGATAGAGATAATACTACTAAAGAATTGGATTTTAATAATATTTTAGTAACTAAAGTATCAAGTGTACAAGTCTATCATGAAAATGAATCGGAAGGGAAAGGAGGAGGAGGAGAGATATATACAGCAACCCATAGTATAGCTAGTGTGAGTACAAGTAATCTAGGATTGGTTGGAAATAATTGGGGAAATAATTTAGAAATTGGAGAAATTGAAAATGGAGGAGCGAGAAAAAGTGTTAATTCCGAATTTTCACATTTTTCAATGACCGGAATACATGGTTTAGAAGAATTTTAAGATGTGCCAAATTATATATAATTATATATAGCAAATTAAATAGATTATTTATTTATTTAAAAAAAATTTTTTTTTTTTGATTTTTTAATTTAATACGTACGATTTATTATCTATCAATATCAATAATGAATCATTATAAATTATTTATTATGTAGGATTATTATCTATTATTATTATTATCTATTATTATTATTATTATTATTAACTCTCCATACATATTTCAATCAAATTATGTACAGAAATTAAAAATATCTACAATTTTGCATAGCATATAATAATAATTAATAATATTAACATAAATATTTAAAATACTGTATAGACAAAAAAAAAATAAAAAATTAATTAAAAAAATTGAAATAAATGTTATAAATAAATAAATATATAAATATATATATATATATATAATAATAATAAAATAAATATAAAAGAAAAAAATAAATATAAAAAAAAATAAAAGAAAAAATAAATATAAATAATATAAATAAGAATTAAATTAAATTAATCTAGAATTTCTTTTCTTTTTTCTTTTAAATTTCTATCGGCATGAGATTTTGCTACTTCACGTAATAAACCTATTTGATTACTAACATCTCTTAATGCTCCCAGTACAATTCCATTACCTTTAATAAATCCATATAAATGATATTTTAATCCAACTTCTTTACAAAAATTTTGAACTAATGGTTGACATCTTCTTAAATTATGTCTTGGAACTCTTGGAAATAAATGATGAATAGTTTGATATTGTAATCCTCCATGAAACCAATCCATCCACCAAGGACAATCCACGTCCATTGTGGTACGAGTCATCTTTCTAGGAAATGATTCAATCGGTCCTAATTCTTCCGTTGACATTCCAAAATGGGAAAGTGTAATTTGTACGTGAAGTATCATTGTTATAGCATGTGATAATATAATAAATATAATTATAATTGGAATTGATGGAATATGTGATAACATATAAAAGTACCAACACCAAAAGAATATCATTCCACTTTTCTCTAAATTACGAAATGCCACATTTTCTTGATTAATTAAAAATGAAATTGATAAAAAATAAAGATTAAATCTACCAAAACATAATACTGGATAATATAAATAATGTTGATATGAAATAAAAAATTTAGCAAATATATCAAAATCTAATTTTCTTTTATAAAATGTTGAATAAACATTGTTTAAAAATTTTGTTGAAACAGCAAAAAATGGTAAATGTTGAATATCAGGATCATGTTCTGGATGATTTGTAACAATGTGATGAACATAATGATTCCTTTTCCACCATGCAATACTTAATCCCCCACAAAAATCCGCAAGAAATATTCCAATAAGATTATCAATTAATAAATTATGAGTAATTCCACTATGTCCCGAATCATGTGCCGTAAATGCCAGTTGATGCCAAAAAAATCCGAGTAATATCGCACTTAGAATATAATGAATTGTTTGAGTACCATAAATAACCAATAACCAAGCTGAAATTATTAACACAAGATATCTAATTCCTTCAAGAAAATAATTCCAATAATTACATTGATATAATCCAAGTTCTTTAATTTTCAATTCTAATTGTTTAAATGAATTTGATATCGATTGTTCTTCTTTCAAAGATAATTTTGTTTTAATATTTTTATTATTATCATCTATAATTTTGGTGTTGGTGGTGATGGTTTCGCTTTCTTGTTCGCTTGTACCATTATATTCTCCAATGTAAAAATTGTGAATTTTTTTCTTTGTAACATATTCTGGATGAAGAACATTAATTTCATCCGTCGCATCCTTGCCTATCATATGAATAATGGCAAGGTCACCACCGGGATGATATTTTATCCATTTATTGAGTTTATAAACTTTTTTGTTATATATTATTAACATTTGACCACTTTGTACGCGTTTTTCTACATCTTGTTTAGATAAATATGTAAGTTGGTCACCTTTATTTGTTTCAAAGAGAAGTGGTGGCATATCTAAAAAATGAAAAAAAACGTTTTCATTGAAAGGATTGAGAAGTAGTACGTGTGGCTAAAGATTCCGTTTTTATTGATGCCCCCGCCTTCTTTTATCAGATTAACAATCTTTGTTACACAAAAAATTATCTAAGAACCCCCCCAAAAAATTTTTTTTTTTTAATTTGTCTTACAGGTTTTCTTCTGTTGTTGCGATACGCATACACCTCCTAAAATGATTATCTATCGGGACATTGTTTCTGGTAACTAGATATCCATTATATTAATTTTTTTAATTCATTTTTTCAATTTTAATAATTTTAATGGTGGTTGTCTTTGATCATTTGGGATTTAAGATGACGAATTCGTTTCCGATGCCTATCCTATGCGTGAGGTTGGTGATGTTGCCTATGAAATCGACTGCCAGGTAACAAGTCTTTTAAATTTTATTATTATTATTATTATGATTATTATTATTATTATTATTATTATTATTATTATTATTATTATTATTATCATCATCATTATTACTATTCCACAAATTTTTCAATCTCAAATTTTAATTTTTAATTTTTTTCATCTTTATAAAATTTAGACTATCACAATCAAAGAAGGCGCTGACGTAGATATCGGTGCAAACCCTTCAGCTGAAGAAGCTCAGGAAAGCCTCGAGGAAGGCACAATTCAAGTTAATAATGTGATTCACGCCTTTCGTCTTCAAGAAACTACTTTTGATAAGAAATCATATATGACTTATCTCAAGGGTTACATGAAGAAATTGGAAGCACATTTAGAGAAAAATCCTGATTTTAATATGACCGAGTGGAAAGAAAAAATCAAAAATTTTACAAAAGAGAAAATTGTTACCAAAATCGATGGTATAAAGAAAATACCCCCCCTCAAAAAAATAACTATTATTTTATTGATATTTTGAAATAATATTTTTAATTATTTTCTTTTTGTTCGACGTAGATTACCAATTTTATACTGGTGAAAGCTTTAATCAAGATGGCATGATAGCATTATTGAATTACCGCGAAGATGGTGTTACACCTTACATTACTCTATTTAAACATGGTCTGAGAGAAGAGAAAGTGGTAAATATCGAAAATTATTTTATTTAACTATTTTTGTTTAATTATTATTTTTTTTAACTATTATTTATTTAATTAATTGTTACTTATTTACAGTAAAAAAAACATAAAAATCGAATAAATCATATGGAACCATTTTCATCCACGACCTTTTTTTTCAATATATTAATACAATACGGATCATATTCTCGATGAATTATTTGATTTATATAAATTATAAATTATATAAGTTATTATATAGATGATATTGTTTCATTGTTTTCATTGTTTTTCATAGTTATTGATATGATCCTTTCATTCATTATGGGTTATAAATGGTCATAAATAGAATTATTATTATTATTTGATATCTAAAAAAAAAAAAATAAGACATTATTACCATAAATAATTACAATATTTTCTTTTTTTATAATATTAGGTAGTTACAATATTAGTGAGTGGTGAATTACAATAAACAACGTGAAAATACAAAAATTTTTTTTTTAATATTTCTCTCTTTAGTAGAGATCTTCAAAAATCAGAAATCTTATTTACCACTAAATTTTACGTATTTTCTTTCATCATTTGACCTGATTAACAGATATCATATATAATATTAATAATATCATCAACTATTCTCCATAGGCAAGATTATTGTTAAAAGGTCCATTATTATAACAAATATCTTTCTTTAACTAATCATGTTAAAGTAGAATCTTTAAGTGGCGTTGATACGTAGTGGTAAACAAAAATTCTTTTTTGATTGATTTCTGGCGACCAATTTTACCAAATTTGAATCCATGTTTTTTTTTGCAACATTTTGAATTTTTTTGGGTAGCATTTGTTTTAGAACACGAGCGCCACATCAGTACTAATTAATCTGTTGTAAATCATAAAAATGTATTCCTTTTTAGTTCTTCTAATAAGTGACATCCTTTATTTAAAAAAAAAATTTTTTCGATTTACTCCTCTTTGAAAAGTAAAAAATGTCGTGGCAAGAATACATTGATAATCAACTTCTTGGAACTGGTAAAATTGTTCAAGCTGCAATTTATGGACAAAATGGTTCTTTGTGGGCCACTTCTAAAGGGTTTTCTGTAAGTCGTTATATTAACGTAAAACGCGATAATAAAACCATTTTGTGAAAAAAAAAAATTAGATTAGAAGTAAAAAATAAACCTTAATATATAATAATGCAATAATGAAACAATTATTCTACAATTTTTCTTTTTCCTTTTAATAATTGTTTTAGTTGAGTCCTGAAGAAGTTACTACTCTCGTTGAGTCTTTTGTTGACTCCGCTAAAATTCAGGAAAATGGAATATACTGCAACGGTGTCAAATATTTCACGCTTAGTCATGATGAAGAGAATATTCACGGAAAAAAGGTTAAAAAATATAATAATTTACTTTTTTAAAATTATTTATTTAATTACTTGATTTTTATATTATTTTTTTTTCGCATTGATCTTTGATGACATGTGACAAATTATCAAAATTATCTTGATTATTGTGCTTATTATTATCTGCACAGGGTGCGGGAGGAGTCGTTTCAGTGAAAACAAACCAAGCAGTCATCATTGGTGTTTACAATGATAAAACCACTCCAGGCGCAGCCAACAAGGTTGTCGGAGATTTGGGTGATTATCTGAAAAATCTAAATTACGTGTGTATACCTTTTACATTTTTTACTATTTTTTTAATATTCTTTCATTATTAAAATTTACTTACGTTTTAATTTTTATTTGATTTACACAGTAAAAAGTAGGAAAGTAGGCAACTTTTATTATTATTTTTTTTTTATCTCTCTTGGAGAATTCTTTGACGATTATTTTTTTATGAACACCTACTACTACTACTACTATTATTATTATTATTATTACTATTATTATTATTATTGTCATTATTATAAAAACTTTGTAACAGTTTATTTAAATGTTGTTGATAAAATCTTTACTAAGAAAGATATGTGTAATAAATTATTTATGATAAAAAAGAAGTAAAATTATTTTGATAGCAAACAGAAATCAAGATATTTTAATTATTTTTTATAAAAATCATTTGATATTAATAAAAAACGAAACACTTCATTTGTTGATATTTCATTATTCGACACTTTGATTTATATAAACTAAATAATAATAAAAAAATGGTAACAATTTACTCCCTCTTATGACTTGTGGATGAAAATCAAACCTGAATCCTTGGTTAGATGTATTATTACATGGGTCATCAATATGTCCAGTTATTTTGCGCGGCAAATTACTGGTAATTTCATAATTTTGTAATTTTTTACTATTCTTCCTCATCCTCATCCCTATGTTCATCTTCCTCATCCGTATTCTCCTCATTCTCATCATCATTATTGTTATCAGTCAATACACCTAATGTTTCTAACTGCTTTCGCAAATTTTCGTTTCCTAAAAAATAAAGTGAAATAAAAAAAAATGAAATTCAAAACAAAGATTCTAAAACTGTAAAAAAAAAAAAAAGTAAAGAATGAATCTTTTTACTTTTACCTTCGTTATAAGTTTCTAATAAATATTCAACTCCCTTATCAAATGCTTTAATGGCTTGATCATCATCATTTTCTATGGTAGACTTGAATAAATAAGCTTGTCCCAGCTGTAACATATAACAATGTCAGAAATTTGACTCTCAAATAATAAAATATAAAATAATGAATAAAACTTCACATTACTATTTCTTTAAACAAATTCTTTCCTAAAGATTCGGTATCATTTGTAAACAATAATTTCTCGATGGCCAAATCTAAAATTTCCAAAACCTCCTATTATTTATATTATTTATAATATTTATAATATTTATATTATTTATAATATTTATTATAATATTTATATTATTATATTATTTATATTATTTATATAATATTATTTATTTATGTATTTATGTGATAATCCAACAACATTAGTATTAAAAGTAATATATATCTTTACCTTTGTCTCTTGTGTCTCTCTAGATTTTAATTTTGAAAGATAATATAAACAACTTCCCCACATCCCTTGAGATAATGTATTTTCATTTATTATTTCGGGTTCTAAACTATTATACGCATCCTCCAAATAAGTTATGGCTTTTGTAAAAATAGTTTTCGCATGGTCAAAAGGTTTTATATTATTAATCAATATTCCATAATCTTGCAAATCTTTAACAGCGCGTATCGTTTCTTTTACATAATTTGTTTTATCCCTTAATTTAAGGATTGAAAGACCCTTAGAAAATGCATTCAATCCAAAAGTATAATTATTAAATTCATTTTTAGAAATTGAATTATATTCTTTCTCCGAATCATCATCCGTGTCCGTTTCGTGTTGTTCTTCCTCCTCTTCTCTAGATTTAAGTTTTCTTTCCATACACATCTTGAAAAAAAAAAATTCAGAAAAAATTGGTCTTCGAAATTTTAAAAATGATAAAAATTTTCTCCTGAATAACTATATAATTATTAAATTATTTTAAGAAAAAGTACCAAAGCAAACATTCCTCTTCCAAGTTCCATCCAACCTTCATAAAAATCAGCATCTTCCGCAACAATTTCTTTTAATATATCGACCCCTTTTTTAATTTGGTCAACCAGAGGTAGATAAATACCAAAAGCAATGCAACATAACGCGTATTGATGTCGAGTCTGCTTATTAGAGGTTATGTTAACTTCTAATTCTCTTTTTTTCCCTTTATTTTTCATCCTTTCTTCTTCTTCCTCCTCTTTTTCTTTATCCTTTTCTGCCCTTTTATTTTCTTTCTCTTTAACTAATAAACTTTCGAAACCTTCAAGTGCCAGGTCAAAAAGCCGTTTAACGATCCCAATATCATGTTCCACTACTTTTGAAGATTCTTCGAGTGCTATTTGAAATAACTCTACAGGTGTAGGCTTAATTTTTTCTTTACCGTCTTCTGAAGTAAAATTAACCTCTATTTCGCCTATATCACAACCTCTGCAAGAAGAATCATCACAGTTTGGTGCATGCTGGTCACTAAGTTTAATTTTTTTTTTGAACATTGAAGACTTATTAATTTATCATGTGATGCAAAATTCTCGCTATCTGATATTACCCGCGATCTACCCAAATTCAGTTATTTCTTATATTAAAAATATTTCTGTTTAATAGATAAATGCTCTATTTTTATTAAGCATACATCGAAATATAAATTTAAAATTATTAAGGATATTCAAAATAGAAATAGAAATGAAAATGGAGTTAAAGTAGAAGGAAAAATCCTTTTACCCTAAGACACTTAAGAAAACATGGTTATCATGACAATCTAAGATGCTAAATATTTAAGTAAAAACTAAACAGTGCACGATTGCATCCATCGCTTTTTATTCATGCGCTGTTGAATAATTATAAATAAATATAAAAATTTATATTAAGCATTCTCGCGTATGTATTTTGCCAATATAAACAACCTTGATCCTGTTCAGAGTTGAAAATTAGATCATTGATAATGTTGATAATTATGGCGTTGCAAAGTGATGGAAGTGACTATCGTTGTGTAAAAAAATCGAATGATTTTAGATTGTCATAATAATCTTTTTTATTTAAGTATTTAAGTAAAAGAATTTTTCCTTCTATTTTTTACTCTACTCCATTTCTATTGTTATTTCTATTTCGAATATACTTAATAGTTTTAGATATAAATTTATTTGTAAATATAACTTTCAAATATACTTAATAGTTTGATATATTTGTACGAAATTATGCATTGGGTTATTTGATCTTCAAATCTGTAATCATTATTGTTGTGCAAAACGGAATCGGAATTTATTTAATTCGATAATGTGACTGTCGGCAATATTTTTTTTTTCAGATTTTAAAGAAGAAATGGAAGAGTAGGCATATTGTTATATTAAACTTTATTTTAAAACCATAATTTATTGCTAATAAATTATATTTCTAATCAATATTACAGGGAGTGAGTATTTAGAAATCAATGTTTCAATTTAATTCAATATCATATTATAATTTTCATTCAATATTATTATTATATAATAATTATCTAATCACTATATTACAGTTTGTGAGTATTTAATTATCTCAATCAATGTTTCAATTTATATAAAAATTCTCTAATCAATTATAAACTAAACAATATAAATTATATTACAGTTTGTAAGTATTTAGATTCATAAGTATTGATATCGAGTTTCAATATAATATAACAATTCTCTAATCAATTATAAACTAATCAATATAAATTATATTATAGTGAGTGAGTATTTAGATTCATAATTATTATAATCAATGTTTCAATTTAATTCAATATCATAAACAATTCTCTAATCTAATCAATATAAATTATATTAAAGTTCGTAAGTATTAACAATTAATTCAATATAATATTATAATTCTCTAATTAATTATAGACTAATCAATATAAATTATATTACAGCGAGTGAGTATTTAGATTCACAATTATTGAAATCAATGTTTCAATTTAATTCAATATCATATGACAATTCTTTAATCAATTATAAACTAATCAATATAAATAGTCGGTGAGTATTTAGATTCATAATTATTGAATTTAATTCAATATCATATACAATTCTCCAATCAATTATAAACTAATCAATATAAATTATATTACAGTGGGTGAGTATTTAGATTCACAATTATCTCAATCAATGTTTCAATTTAATTCAATATCATATAAAATTCTTCAATCAATTATAAACTGATCATTATAAATAGTCTGTAAGTATATAGATTCATAATTATCTCAATCAATGTTTCAATTTAATTCAATATCATATAAAATTTTCTAATCATTATAAACTAAAAATATAAATAGTCGGTGAGTATTTAGATTCATAATTATTGAAATCAATGTTTCAATTTAATTCAATATCATATAACAATTCTCTAACCAATTATAAACTAATCGATATAAATTATTTTACAGCGGGTGAGTATTTAGATTAAATAATTATTGAAATCAAATGTTTCAATATCAAATAAAATTCTTTAATTAATTATTAATAATATTTTTTAGAAAGTGTAGTGACTGCCATCAAAATAATACTGGATACAATTGGTGCCATCCGTGTAATGCTAAAAGGTTTCAAAATGAATTTGATAAATGGACAAGTGGAGATAATGAAATTGATAAATTTATCCAACAAATACAACTAAAGGCAAATAAAAGTCGAGAAATCATTGAGTGGATTCCATTTGATAGACTTGAAAATGTTACATACCTTGCTAAAGGAGGTTTTGGCACAGTACACAAAGCAGAATGGCTTGATGGACCTATTAGGTCTTGGGATTATAAAGTAAAAAAATTGGTTCAGATCTGGAAAAACATATGTTTGCTTAAAAGTTCATGATAATTCCACAAATCAAATTGATTTTTTTTTGCAAGAGGTAAATATTTCATTATTTAATTTTCATTGTATATGTATATGTATAATAATTATATTTTATGTTAATAAATATTTTAGATTGAAAATCAACTTAAATTACGAGGTAAAAAG